TTCTGGGAACCTACACACAAACGGGAATCCATATATAGGAAATGAAATTAGAGCCATATCAATCCTAGTGAATAAAAGTCATTTCCAAATATACAAAGAGATTGATGTGGAACCTGCAAAGATAAAATCCTAGATGGAAAAACAGATCCAAAACCACTTTCCCAAGATAACCCCTGCTCTGTGGTTGTTCTAGAATTCCTTTGTGGAACTATCACACTCCCCATGGTTAATGCATGGGCTCTTTCCTGCTCATTGGGAATCTCCTAACCATCCCAAGAATAATCAATTTCTGGTTAGTAGCCTTATAAGAAGCGCACTGGCTGGTTTTGTGTGTCAATTTGACACAAGCTGGAGTTATCACAGAGAAAGCCACCTCCTTTGAGGAAATGCCTCCATGAGATCCAGCTGTAAGGCATTTTCTTAATTAGTGATCAAGGTGAGAGGGTCCATTGTGGGTGATGCCATCCCTGGGCTGGTAGTCCTGGGTTCTATAAGAAAGCAGGCTGAGCAAGCCAGGGGAAGCAAGCCAGTAAGCAGCACTCCTCCATGGCTTCTGCATCGGGTCCTGCCTTCAAGTTCCTACCCTGTGTGGGTTCCTGTCCTGACTACCTTTGGTGATGAACAACAATTTGGACGTGTAAGCTGAATAAACCCTTTCCTCTCCAACTTGCTTCTTGGCCATTATGTTTTGGGCAGGAATACAAACCCTGACTAAGACAAGAAGTTTCTGAAAATTTTCATCCTGTGCCCAAATAAACCCTTTACATGTGACATGAGATGACAGGTAAGGGGGCCACTGGAAAGACAGTCTGTTAGGGCCTTCATTTCACCCATTGGGAATTTTCATGGTGAGTGACAATGAATGTCCTGCCCCATGTGTGACAATGTTAGCTCAGATTGCCCCTGCTGACTGCAGAATACAACAGAGTGCTTTATCATGAGTCCTTTTCCTTTCTTATGTCTTGTCAAGCACTCAGTGCAGTGTCATCCCATACTTGGTGCCCTGAAAACTCTATTTGTAAGTGTCTGAGATAATTATGTTGAAGTTTGGTTCCAACCACAGAGTAGCCATTTGTTTGAAGAGGCTTAAGTACAGTATTTATATGATAATATTTCACCAAAAAGGTGACAAATATTTTGGGCAACTGAGTTTCTCCTCCTCCTCTTCCTCCTCTTCCTCCTCCTCCTCCTCCTCCTCCTCTTCCTCCTCCTCCTCTTTTTCCTCCTCCTTCTCTTCTTCCTCCTCCTCCTTCTCCTCTTTCTCCTCCTCTTCCTCCTCCTCTTCCTCCTCCTCTTCTTCCTCCTCCTCCTCCTTCTCCTCCTCTTTCTCCTCTTCCTCTTCCTCCTTCTCCTCTTTCTCCTCCTCCTCCTCCTCTTCCTTCTCTTCCTCCTCTTTTTCCTCTTCCTCCTTTATTTATTCACATTACCTCCTGATTGCTGTCCCCTTTCCAGTCTTCCCCTCCCGGAATCCCTTTCTTTCTCTCCTGAGATGGTGGGGACTCCCTATGATTCCCTCACTTTAGCTCATCACCACTCCCCAGGTTTAGGTACATCCTCTCCTTAGTCATCAGGGAAATGGAATTCAAAAAGACCCTGAGACTTTACACTCATCATAGTGGCTAAAATTTAAAAAATAAAATACCAGTCTAGCATATAGTGGAGAGGTTGTGGAGAAAGGGGAACACTCCTCTGTTGATGGTGGGGCTGCAAACATGTACAACCATTCTGGAAATCACTCTGGCAGTTTCTCAGAAAATTGGAAATAATTCTACCCAAAGACCCAGGTATATTGCTCCTGGGCATATACCTAAAAGATGCTCTACTGCACCACAAGGATACATGTTCCACTATGTTCATAGCAGCCTTATTTGTAATAGTCAGAAACTGGAAACAACGCTGGTGTCCCTCAATTGAAGAATTAATATAGAAACTGTGGTTCATTTACACAATACTATTGCAATACTATTCAGCTATTAAAAGCAAGGACATCATGAATTTTGCAGGCAAATGGATGAAACTAGAAAATATCATCCTGAGTGAGGTAACCCAGACCCATTAGGACATGCATGGTGTGTACTCATTTATAAGTGGATATTAGTCATAAAGTACAGGGTACCCATGCTATAATCAACAGACCCAAAGGAGCCAGATAACAAAGAGGGCCCAAGGGAAGATGCTTGAATCTCACTTAGAAGGAGGAATAAAATAGTCATAGGAGCAAGAGGGAGGGAG